GATGTGGAAGGTGCCTCTGGGGCTTCTGAGCCCCAAACTCCTGGAGGGAAGGGAGTGTGAGTGTGAGTGCCTGCAGTTCATCCTAACCCTTGCTGCGTGTTGGGCCAGTGCTTGTTTCCAGATAAATGGGAACATCCCCAGGACGCCAAGGTTGTGGGAGCTCTGGACCTTGGCGGTGCCTCGACGCAGATCACCTTCCAGCCTGAGGTGCCCGTGGAGGACAGGAACACGTCCGTGTTCTTCCGGCTGTACGGCACCAACTACTCCCTGTACAGCCACAGCTACCTGTGCTACGGGCAGAGCCAGGCCCTGAAGATGCTGCTGGCAGCTCTGCACCAGGTGCCACGGGGCACGGGGGCTCCTCAGCCATCTCCCAGTGCCATGGCACATCTCCCCCTGCAGTGTTGGGTGTGCCCGTGGGCACAGAGCTGGGAATTGGCAGAGCCTTGGATTTTATCGAGGGAAGCAATAAATTGCCTCTTTTGGGTGAAAGGTGGTGGTGGTTGCCAGGCAGGGCTCCCTTCTCCCCACACCCTGACATGCAGTGGCATTTTTTGTAATTTCCCAAGCCCAGCTGTATGTGTAGTTTTTCTGCTGTCACCATTCTCTTGGCCTTGCTCCATTTCTGCCCAGGGAGAGGTTCCCCAGCACAGGCCCTGCACAACAGCCTGGGGACAGAGCCAGAGCCCAGTGCTGTGGGAGCCAGGGATTCTCGGGGAGCTCACAGGTGGGGTGCATCCAGCGCTCCTGGGGTGTAGGTGCTGCTTTTTGGGATGGGCTGTGGGAAGGGTCTCAGTGGCATGGTAGCCCCATGATTGGCTCCATCTCTCTCCAGGACACCTTGCGTGCCCAGATCTCCCACCCCTGCTACCCCAAAGGGTACCTGGAGACCATTACCGTGGCAGAGCTCTACAACAGCCCCTGCGTGCGTGCGCCAAGCTCAGTCAGGCCTGACGTTGTCCTCAGGGTGACGGGGACAGGGGACCCAACCACGTGTCACATGGTCGTCCGGAGTCTCTTCGACTTCAGCTGCGGGGCGCCGGGGCCGTGCGGGTTCAATGGGGTCTATCAGCCCCCCGTGCAGGGACACTTCTTCGTAAGCAGCCTCCGGCCCCGCGCCTGGGGAGGGTGAAGGCAGAGACTGGGAGTCTCCACTGCCACTGATTGTGGAAAGGGGTGGGGAGAGAGTGATCCTCAGTGCTGGTTCTATCTGTAAACCTTTTCTATGCTCAGAGGTGGCTTCTGGCTCCTGCCATGTCCCAGCCTTCCTTGAGAGAAATGGCAAGACCTTGTCTGAGGAAGCCTGTCTGTGCTTGCTCAGAGTGCCAGAGCAGCCCAAGGGTTGTGAGTCTGCTCTGCTCTGAGACTTTCTGCTAAACCCTCAAGGGGGTGCCAGATGCAGAACTCTGAGAATTACTTCGGACTCTCTCCCCAGGGAAGAGAGGTACCTGGTTCTTTTCTCAAGTGAGGAAGGAGTTGTGTTTTTCACCATGTTCCCTTGTCCCCCAGGCCTTTGCTGGGTTCTACCACACCTTCAGCTTCCTGAACCTGACCCACAAACAGTCTCCGAGTGAAGTCAACACTGCAGTCGTGTCCTTCTGCAGGAGGAACTGGGAAGAGGTGAGAGCCCTGTGGAGGGAAGCCAGCAGTCTTGTGCATATCTTGTCCTAAATCTCTGCCCTTGGAGCACAAGCCCTGCTGTTCCCTGGGCTAGGGAGGGTTTCTGAGCCTCTCTTTCATTCCCTGCTGCACTGTGTCCCTGGTGGCCTCACAGCTGGTGCGGAGCTTCCCTCAGCATTTGAAGTACCTGCACACCTACTGCTCCATGGCCTTTTACATCCTGACGCTGCTGCTCGATGGCTACAAGTTCAACAAGAACACCTGGAGCAACATCCACTTCAGCAGGCAGGTAAACACCTGTGGGCAGCAGGAGAGCATGGACATGTTCAGGAGCAGCATCTCTGGAGTCCTCTGTGCCAGAGATGTGTCCCTGTTTCATGATTGCTCCCCAGGGACCCCAGGACAGCTTTGCTCTCAGCCACCCCCAAACCTCTGACCCAGTTCATGTCTCACTTTCCCTGCTGTGAATTTAACTGATTTTAAAGGGGTCAGGGAAAAGTAGAGCAGTATTTGGCCAGTTTGGTCTCTGACATTCTTATCAAAGGTGATGGTGGCCCCATGACCACTTTGAACCAGAGTATGGCCTGACCAGAATATTTCCAGCAAGAGAGGAGACAGCCTCAAGTTGTGCCAGCAGAACCTTAGTTAGGTACTAGGAATGGTTTTCTTCATGGAAATGAGTCACCATCCCAGGAAGGGTTCAAACAACATGTGGATGTGGTGGCACTTGAGGACACAGCTTAGTAATGAACATGGTGGTGGTGCTGGGTTGATGGCTGGACTCCATGATCTGAAAAGTCTTTTCTGACTTTACTGACTCTGCAGCCAAATTACAAGGATTATGGGGATGGAGCAAAGCCCAGATCCAAAATCATGTGCAGGTCACAGAGGCAGACCTGGATCACAACAGTCACCCATGTTCAGCTGTCCCTTAGTCGTGGGGGAGCAGGGAGAGGAAAGCTCTTTGTGCAACTGCTGCTGGCAAGATCAGGTTCACCACAGCCTGGTCCCTATGTGAAACGGCAGCTGGGACAGCTCACGGGAGAGGTGACCCTCAGCCCCTTACACCAAGCTGCTGATGCCTGGGAGAGGTGCTTTTGGATGATGTCCTGTGCTGTCTCCCCTCAGGCAGCAAACACAGACATCGGGTGGACACTGGGCTTCATGCTGAACATGACCAACATGATTCCTGCCGAGGCTCTGCAGCATGTCAAGGTCCACCAGCCCAGCCTGTGGGCAGGGGCTGTCTCCTTCCTTGTATTGGCCATTGTGGCAGGCCTGGTGTCTGTTTTCCTACACTGTTTCTGGAAAACAAAGTAGGTCCCTGCCTCCTGACTAGAGGCATCCTGCCTACTGAACCAGGCAGAGAAGTGGTGCAGAAGAGGTGGAAAGTCGAGAAGAATGAAGGCATTAGACTCATCTGCATTGCTCAGGAGAGCTGACTGGGTCATCTCTGTGAATGTGGAAGATAACTTCATCTCTCTACAAGAGGAAGACTCCTTTACTCTGACTACCAAAAGCTGATTGAGACTTGCTGGCTGGATGAAACCAGAAAAATTCAAACTAGAAATAAAATCAGTTTTGTTTTTCAAATATGAATGTCACCGCTCAGCCTCCTGCTGGGCTACTCTTCCAACAGTCCTGGGAGGCAACTGGCAATTGAGAGTAGTGGTAGCCACCTAACTCTGAGCAGAGGGATGGCATCATCTGTATCCTGCCCTGTGCAAGATGTGCAATATTTTTGTAGTACGTGACAGAATCTCTTCTCAAAGACACTGTCAGCTGTTGTTAAAAATACTTACTGGCATATCTCAGCAGAAAAACACAAGTGAAAGTTTATTTAAGAGTTGCCAACTCTGGCTCAGGGTTTATTTTATATTCAAGTTACATAGCCAAGTTTTGTCAAGACATCAAATCCAGAACAGGTTCCAGCCAGGCACTTGAGTGTTTTATTTAGATCAGCCCAGCCCAGTTGCAGGAATGGGACAGGGCTTTCAGCCTTTGCAACACCAGCCCAGCACTGCACTTCCCAGTCAGCCCTTTCCCCAGGGCCTCCAGGGCTCTCCCAACAGCTTAGAGCTGCTCTGAGCAGTGGGGATTTCTACAACTGCTTCTTCTCTGTGCTCCAAGATCCCACCTTGGCCTTAGAGCTTAAGAAAAGTGCCCAAGGCACCTGGAAAAGAATGTTCAGGTCCACAACTATTTGCTATGGAAGACAGTGGTCCTAACTCATGGTGTTATCCCATTAATCTCACTGCAAACTGGTTCCAAAAGCCTTTTGAAAGAGCAGCATCTCTGGCTGGTGGAGATAAGGTTATGTGACCCAAGAGCCTGGGGAACGGAGCTCTGTCCCCTGCTCCCAGACAGCCACCCTTGGCTTGGCGAGTGAGGCTCAGCCTTCCCAGCCTCAACATGAGCAACAAGGGAGAGGGGATGAAGACTTCCACCCAGGGGAACCTCTTCCCACCCAGGGGAACATTTTCCTACCCAGCAGCCTGAGTTGCCACATGGACAATTCCCACAGCCAAACCCCTTGCTCTCAGCTCTTCATAGACACATCTTTGGCAGTGTAAGCACGAGGTAAAAATGCCAGGTTAGGGAACAGGCTGTGGGAAATGCCATCACTGCTGGAACTGACCCCATGGATCTGAGTGGGAGATATCCCCTGTCCAGGTACAGCAGAGCTCCTGGCTGTGCTGGCTCGGGCCCAAATGAACTGGGACAAGTGTCTCCCACCTCTGGGGGTGCAGTCAGGCAGGAAAAGGCTCCTGTTTGCTATAGGAAGGCAACATCACAGCTGGTCTGGGTGGCAAAGCATTTGGGGAAGATGCCAGTCTTGCCATTGCAGCATCCTTCCAGCCAGTCCTCGTTCACTGGAAAACATAAAGGAGCAGGGATGAGTCCTGGCCCATATGAGTGGGGTTAGTGAGAGTTTTCATGGCTGGAATTTAACTCTGGAAAAAACCCAGTGCAAGCATGTATCTCCTGAGAGTATGAACCTGAGACAGTCCTGGAGAGGTTTTCCCCAGTGCCTCCCCACAGCAGACTCCAAAAGCCTGGCCCAGCAGCAGGACTGGAGAGCTACCTTCAGAGAGGATATCCAGCACATCTCCCTTGCTGAACTCCAGGTCCCCTGGTCCCTGTGCCAGGTAAGAGTGCTGAGCCAGCATCTGGTAGAGAACAGGTCTGCCTAAGTGGGAGTCAGAGTCCTGCAGGAAAAAGCCAGCATGGAGGTCACAAAGCAAAGCAGAGACTGGAGCTCAGCCCAGCAGAGACTTTGTCCCGGCCCAGGTACCTGGCAACAGAGTGTCAGCCTGCCATCGGTCAGCTGCTGCCATACCTTCCCCAGGTCCTCTTGTCCCAACACTGTCCCCATCTCTGTGCCATCCAGGAGCCTGTAGCTGCAAGGGTTCATTAATGCTGAGCAAATCATCTCATTTAAAGCCAAACTTGGAGACAAGCCCAGCCCTCTGCCACCCTCAGTCTTCACAGTCCCCTTTGCAGGCCAGTTCTGAGCTTGTCCCCTTGCACAGTGACATGGGGCCACCCCACATGCTCAGCAGGCAGAAATGGCACTGTGGGGAGTGACACTGTCACCTCCTCCCACACGAACTTGAGGGAAAAATCCTAAACTTTCCTGATGCCATTGTGTGTCTCAAGGAGTGACACAATCAGGAAGACCTCACCCCAGGATCTACTGCCTGAGTCTCAGCTTGCTCTGCATTGATCCTTGTTACTGCAAAGGCTGAGCTGAATGGGACAAAATCCAACCTGTGGCACCTGCATCTACAAAAAGTTTTTTTCTTATTTTCTCCCTTTTTCTTGACTGTGGTACAGTTTCCTAGGAAAGATCTTTTAGGCTTCCCAGGCCCATAGAATCACAGATTCACATAATGGTTTTGCTTGGAAGGGCCGTAAAGATAATTCAGTTTCAGCCCTCTGCCATGGGCAGACAATCTTTCACTACACCAGGTTGCTCCAAGCTCCATTCAATCTGGCCTTGAACAGTTCCAGGGATGAGGAATCCACAATCTCTGTGGGCAACCTATGCCAGGGCCCCACCACTCTTATATTAAAGAATTTCTTCCCAATATCCCATCCAACTCTGCCCTCTGTCAGTTCACAGCTATTCCCCCTTGTCCTGTCACTCCGCGCCTTTGTTATAAGTCCCTCTACAGCCCTCCCTGAGCCCTTTATGTACTGGGAGGGGATTACAAGAGGAACAGCATGTGCTTCCCCTCAGGGATCACGCTGTTGTCCCACCCAAAGCCCACGGTGAGGTTTGCCCTCTAGGCAGACTGTGCGCTTAGATCTTTGCTGGTTCTGGCCCCAGGTAAACACTCCCAAGAGCCCAGAGGCAGCTGGATGCCCGTGTCCTGAGGGGAATGGCTGCTGGCCCGTCCCATGCCACAGCCCCGTACCTGAGTGTGCCCCGCTGTGCCTGCTGAGCCAGCCTGTCCCGCATCAGGGCCCGCAGGGCCGCCAGGGCCGGGGCCTCGCCTGCCCGCAGCACCAGCGAGCACTCGCAGCGCAGCCGCAGCACGGCCGGCCTGTGTGCGCCCGCCGAGGCCGCCCTGCACCTCGGGGGGACCTGTGGGGAGACAGGCTCGGTCAGAGTGCAGAATCAGAATATCCTCAGCTGGAAGGGACCCACAGGGATCACCCAGTGCAGCCCCTGGCCCTGCCCAGACCCCCAAAATCCCACCCTGGGCATCCCTGGCAGCGCTGGCCAAAGGCTCCTGGAGCTCTGGCAGCCTCGGGGCCGTGCCCATTCCCTGGGCAGCCTGGGCAGTGCCAGCACCTCTGGGGGAAGAATCCACACTGACTGTGAAGTTCATGGATGTGATAAATTAATATGATTCATGCTAATAATTGTAACTATATCGATATTTTAGAAAATATTTGTTAAAAAGTAATAGAGGAAAGTGATATGTAAATCGTATCACAAAACAGATGTTCATAAGAAAATAGGATACAGGATGGAGCATTGAGATATTTTAAGACAGAAATCGCCTTGAGAGGAAAAGTTGGGAAACTCCTAGAGCAGAATTGGCATGAAAACGAATGAAAGCCCAGATAACTCCCTAGGCAGGAACGGCCTTGAGATGAATCAAGTTGGCTCAATTCCAGATAGGGAACCTAAAATAGTGGGGTTATGTAGGAAATAATAAGGCTCAATTGGAACATAATGTTTACTTATATAACACCAAGCTCAATGTGCATGTGCAACCTGCCAGGTCATTCAGAGGACAGAGAGGAAGACGGCGAGCCTTCCTCTGAAAAGACCACCAGAGAGCCAAGCCCCTTAGCAACAAGAGGCGCATGTGCTGTGCAGTAGAGTGACGAAGATTTCCAGAATCTAAAATGGGAGGAGATTTACAGGAACTATTGATGAATATGTATTAGCATACAGTATAAAAGTTGTGCTTGGATTCTTTTGTCTTTTGTACATGAGGCAGGGTGGGAAGCCCTCCCCATACCCTGGTCGGTTTTGCTTATGCTTTATCTGAACCACTACCAAATTTCATTTTGTAACTAGTGAATTATATTTGATTGTATGAATATTTTATACCTCAATTAAAATTGCTGCTAAATTTTAAATCTTGTGCTTTATTATATTTGACATATAGGGACCTCATTTATAACAATGGACTAAGAAGAACCATGACTGACTAATAAACCCAACTAACAATATCTGCTCTCATACCAAGAGAGGTGACACAGACACAATCCCTCATCTCTGTGCTGCCATGTAGCAGTAGAACATCATCAAAATGCAGACCTGAATTTCAAAGAGGGAACTCTGGATTCAAAGCCTGGGATCAAATGTTCCTCCAGGTACCTCCTAAACCCAAAACTGTATGAGCAGGGCCCCAGTTCCTCCAGCAAGCTGGAGAGGAGCCGCCACATTCCTCTATAGTGTTGCCTTCTGGCTGAACTACACCTGTAAAAATTACCCCAAAATCCGTAAAAACAGGTGTGGCAGAAGTGACCTGCAGCTGAGGGACAGATGTGTTGTCTCACCAGAGGGTCACAGGAATCATTCCAGGACCACCACATGCAAAGACTGGCAATGGCATGGAAGTACCTCAGAGGACATTACCCAACAGGGCAAATTTGAATAAATTGTGCTATCCAGACTGGTAGAGACAGAAAATGGGACACAGGAAGAGGAAGGAAGGGACAGCAGGGTGTTCAAAGACAACTGCCTCTTGCAAAGTGGGCTGTAAAGCATGTGCACAAGAACTCTCATGCGTTTGGTGCTCTTAGTGCCTCAGAGGGTGGCAAAAGGTCAACCTTGGGCTGTCTCAGAAACTGTCTCAGAAATGGTCAAACTGGGAAGAAGGACCACATGGGAGCCTCTCTTTAGAATGGAAAAATGGTCAGAGGAAGGAAGATTTTCCCAGTAATTTGGGAGCAGCTCAGGAATTCTGGGCAAGAATCTTGCACTCTTCCCAGCCCTGGTCCCCTGAGGCTGTACCAGCTTCAGTCTGTGGAACACCTCACCTTGGACTCCATGTAGGCACTGGCATCATTGACGGAGGCATTTTCTTCCCCAGGAGGAGCTGCAGAACAGCACAAAGGCAGGGGAACAGCCCTGCAGTCAGCAGAGGCTGCAGTGGAGCCACCACCTCCTTAGGCCCCCTAAAGAGCAGGGATTGGGCACAGCTTCAGCCACTGAGGGCCCAGGGATTACCTGGTTTCTGCTTCAGGGGCAGGCGGCTGGGAGGCACCTGGGCAGGAGGAAGGGGAATCCCAGTGCTGATCTTCTGCAACAGAACAGCATCAGAAAGGAGAGGGCAGAAAATGGGAGCCTGGACAAGGCTGGTGAGTGACAGGCTGCAGCCAGCTACAGACTTGTGGGTGTAACCCCAGGGAGCACCCCAGGGAGAGCTGCTCATTGAATGGTTGGATGAAGTGGAGCAATCAGGCTCTTGAGGGCAGAGGTTTGGGGACACTTCCCTTGCACCCTGCTCCCTGCTGGGTTGATGCTGGAACAGAAGGAGGCTGCTCACACTGTGCTGAGGGCTCTCCCCACTTGGGCTGCTTCACAGTGATATATCCATGGAGCAAACGCCCAAGTGTGTACCATGATTCATTTGCAGGGGGGAAAATGACAAAAAAAAAAAAATCATAGCAACATCAGAACAACCATGTGCTTGAAAATGCCCTCGTAGGAAACAGTGGGCTGAGCTGCACCCTTCCACACTGGGCTCAGATGGAAAATGACTGGGATCATGTGTGGCTATGCCTGTGGTGGAGACAAGAGATTATGTTCTCCCAAATAAAAAGGGATTTTTCCTACTCCTAACTCTTCTCTTGTTCCCATTCAAGAGCACTTGGTCTTCAGCCAATAGTCTCAGTGTTTCATACTCTATGTTTCTCTTATGCAGTTGTCCTATCCTGTGATAATCTTACAGATAAATGTCCCAAATGTATTTCTTCATCCCTCCCTCCCCCTGTTTGCAAGATTGCCAGCTCACCCATTTGTCCATCCTTGAGGCAGGCTCCAGGAGAGAGCTCGGGATGTTCAGCTTCTGCAGAGGGACACGGAGCAGAGCAGGGTGAGAGAGGAGCCCAGAGACCCCAGCCCAGCCCCAGCACTGCCTGTCACCCTATGGCCACACGAATCTGCCTGAGGGGTGGGGTCACCCCCAGCCACCCAAGTGCCTAGTGCTCACAAACTGCTGAACAAGATCCAATGATCCTTCTGCAGCTTTTCCAGCTGGGAGCAGAGCTGCTGCTGGGGTGGCTGCAGTGGAACAGACCAAACACCCACCAAACCCCCTGTTCCCAAGACAGATACTCAGGCAGAGAGCAGCAAGGATGCCCAGGGATACCAGTCCAACAGCATTTCTGTGTCTTCTGACAATCACTGCTGCTCATTTCAACTGAGCATTGCAATTTTTTGCTTACAATGCTTTTATTTTTCTGTTGAGTGTCTATTTTCATTTTTTCTACATTGAATTTCACCTGGCACTTCACTGAGCAGTCAACCAGCACATCCAAATACCTGTGTAACTGTTCCTGTTAGCTCCAGATGCTTCAGGCTCTCCCCCTATTCCTAGATCACTTAGGAATATGCTAAATACTTACGGCACGGAGGATTTGCTGTGGGAACACCCTTTCTTTTTAAAAATGAAAGGAAGAAAAACCTGTTCATTTACACCCAACTTTTAATTCTGTATTTTTACCAGTCTTCAGAGCACTGCCTCAATTGCTCAAACACCTCACTGGTTTATAGTGGTCTTATGAAGTTGTGACTTTTTTGAAAGACAGGCAGGTAATATATTCACTGAACCTAATGCAGGTATACAACAGCTCTTTCAAAAAGTGAACTAGACAGGTGAGAAATGGTTTCTGCCAACAAAAGATTTTCCATGCTGTGTTTATCTGTTTCTATTCCATCTGTTTACCCTATAGCTCCCTGGCTGGCAGGAAGATGTCAGATTTGCTGGGCTCTAAGTCCTTAGGACTTCTCTACAGCCCTTCATAAATCCTGCCTGTACAGCTGAAACCCTCCTCAAACCTTCCCAAATGTTACAGTGCACTCAGGCTATGCTTTTCCCCATTTACCAGGGACCCCTGTGACTCTGATCAGATAAGAGTGTCCCCTCCTTCCTGATCTCATGGAATAAAGAAGCTGAACACCCACATCAGAGTTAGAGCCTCTTTTGAATCTTTGCCCATCTCCTGATGTTCCTCCCCTCAAAGCCTCGTATCTCTGGGCTAGCCCAATAATTTAGGGCTGAGAGAGGTGAAGCATCACCCAAAGTTCACTGAACAGAGGCACTACAGACCAGGTAAGGACCAACCCATCTCCTCAGCTCCATCAAATCTCTCAGGGCATAAATCCTGCTCTAAATGGTGGTCGTTGGTGAGGTCTGCTCTCCTACAACTCCACAGTAGGATCTCCTATGGTGGAAAGCCCAGAAGCCATCCTGGATATAGAGAGGCGAATGGCAGAGGCCAGTGGGAGCCCGGTGTGAGGAAATCTGGGAGGTGTGGGAAGGAACTCCTGAGGATGGTGCTCAGGGGGGCTGGAGCC